TTTCTTTCTGAATTATCGATCTAACAATTATACGCGTAATTCTGAATCGTTTCGAATACATATTTTTCATATATGTTTGCTTTTCCATGCCTTTTTCCTGTTGTTTTTCGTTCGGCGTTTCTTTCTCTCTCTCTCTCTCTTTCTCTCTCTCGCTGTTCATTCTCGTTTTTTCCAAATTCATTTAATCTCACATTGTTTTTGTCAACACGCGATTGTATCGTATCGCCTAACTACACCTCATATATTTCTCGTTGGGGCATGTAACATACACAATTACAATTAAAATTAATTTCACCGTCTGATTTGCACTGATAAATTTATTTAATTAACTGATAACAATCGTCGAATGGAGAGAACACGCACAAACCCTGTCAACTCAACGGTGCTATGTTCAGGCAGCTACAAATTGTCAACTAACGCTATCGATCGCCAATTGCCGAGTGTATTTCAATGGTGATTTTACTTTGGTTTTTTCCTTTTTTATGCGTGATTTTTGTGTGTGTTCTTTTCCATCAATTCGTTCATCCATAAATTTGGCTCCGTTTAAAAACACGATTTGCATAAAACCCACCATAATCAAACATTGTATTTTACATACCAAATCGATTATGAAATTAAATAAATCGGTAAACACAATTCGGCCCAAAAGAACGAAGAGAAAAAAATTAAATAAAATCACATATGGGAGAGGTATTGAATTTGATCTATGCACAATAGTTGATTTTCAGTAATTTTTGCTATGTTTTTCCCCCCGGTCGCTCAGAAATAGTCCCATCCATTGTTCCTTGACATGTGAGAGCCACATATTCAAAGCGAATAAATTTCTAAATAAACTAAAAATAAATGTTTTATTAATACGAATGAATGGTAATAAACAAATTATGCGGCGCATACATTTTATAAATATTTTTATCATTTTCTCGTTAGTTTGTTTTATTGTTTACTCTACTGTTGCTCCCCATCGGGTACAATGCACACGCACATGTTCAATCAAACCGATGGCAAGGGTAATTTTTTGTTTTGTCAAGCTTTATTACCACATATGAGCCTTGTTATTGCTATTTATTTATGCTAGTGAATACCTTATTCGATATATACTTATTTCATTTTTCTAGTTCACCTTTGGAATAAACGATTTTCTGTACCTTGTCGATTTTCATATGCGACGAGCGACCGAGTGATAGCCCATCAAAAATAAAACTGTGACAATGAAAACCTAATGGTTCTCAATATGTTTTGGGTCACAGTTGTACGCCGAAGTGCCATCACATTATAGGTGTTGTAGTGGAAAAAGAATCACGAGGGATAAGAAGCGCTACAGAAGTGTTGGTGTTATCGCAATAAAAAATACATAGAACAATACTCAATGTATTTGTTCATCGAATTTACACAGAAAAATGAGATAGAATGGAAAGAAAATCCTGAATAGCCCATTATTCCAAACAATTCAATTTTTTAACATTTTATAATTCATTCTTCTTTTTTTTTCGGTTTACAATCATCGAATCCATTTGATTTAGTCATCAAATGTTGATCAAAAATACCAAATTGTGCACAAAGAACCGATGTGCATTAATTTTGAAATTACACAACGTTTTGGTGCGGAAAACCACAAACTGTTGACATCAAAGCCATTTCATTCGGGAAATTTGATCCATTTGGCAAAGCAAATATGGCAAAATGTTCATGATACACGGAATAAGCACAATACGTTACACAGCCATGCTGTCAATCGTCCGCTCTCAATTTTCGGAAGCCTTGAGAAAATGTTGACGAAAACGTATGTTATATATCATATATGTATACACTTCGTAAAGCTTGATGAACTGTAGAGGGTTTAGCAAACATTTCGGAATACTCAAAATGGAAACCACTATAAATACATAATTCTGTCAATTTATCGGAAAAATAAATGTGCATGGCTTAAATGCGGTACATGTCAAATCAATTCATTTTTACCTCAACCGCCCAAAAACGAATGCTACCATTACACACAATGAATTAATTTTCTGCACAAAACCGAAACGAATGTGTCAAATTACTCTTTGCGCTTCCCTCTGACAAAAAGCTATGCGTGTGTATGTGTGTGTGTTTGTGAGTGAGTGAAACACACTAATGGAATACTCGAAAGGGTTATTTGCTCACCATTGACAAACGAAGGATTGATTAACTGTGGCAAATTAATAAAGTCTCCCATTGTCAATGGAATGAAGTGGAATAATGATGTACGTCTGCGGATGAACGCGTACGCACATCAAAATGCTTCTCATTCAAGTGAGAAAATTGCTTAATTTGTATTTAATTTAACTCATTTCACACACTTCAGAAATCCTAATTGAATTTTGATTAGAAATAACACACAAATTGAATGAAGTAAGAAGATGCGTTGTGTATTCGTGTCAATGGTAGTACCATATAGCAGGTTTTGGTCTATTTCGTTGACGTTCAACCGTTTTCGGAAACGTCAATGTTATCTTTTCATGGCAATTCATTCGAATGATTTGACGCATTTACCGAAAGACATTCACTCCATTCAAGTTACAATGACTCTTTTTTTTCCCACTTATTCATCCAATTTTCCCTCGGCATCCATGAAATGAAATCAGCAAACGATAAGGAAGTATTATATTTACATATATCTCCCGTTTGGTTCGAAGAAATCGAAAAAAAAAACGCATATTCGATACGATGCTCAGATTTTTTTTTTTTAATATTTGCTAAAAACCTCTTTACATTTGGCACAACTCTTTTGGGATTTTTCTAGTTTTGAATTGAATATCCGCATGTATAAATGCCATTTATCAATTCGCTGTGCTGCTTTTGATTCCGTTATTTTAAGCTGTTATTTTTACCATTACCTCTCATTCATCTTGCCGTCAGAGGAAAAAATTTTTTTATTGGATTTTGCTATTTTGAATGAGTAATGTATTGAAATGAGTTTAAAAAGCTTCATCGCACTGGAAGTAACCGCATCATGTTGAAACAAACAAATAAAAAGGATGCTTTCCACTTAATTCGCGTTTCCATTCATTTTCTTTTCGACATATTGTAAGTAATTCCTCTGAATACCTTGAGAATAAGAGAGTTAGGGGGGGGGGGGGGCTTTTTTGATCATCTGCCATCAAATGTGCGTGCGTCTAAACAAACAATTTGTAAAAAATTCTTTCGATAGCAGCAAAAGCAACGGAAAAATTTTAACAAATATGCTACTACCTTACGTATTTAAATGCCAAAAACATGCGATCTAAATAATTATGGTTTTCAGCATGAACGTAATGAGAATTCATTTGTCTAACTCAGAATTTATGAATTATGCATTCTGAAGCGCATTCGACTCTTAAGTGTTGCAAATAGCATGTAAACTTCCTTGAAATGAATGTTCGCTCATTTTACCGATTTGCTTTTTCTTCTCCTTTTAACTTCTGCTTTTACTTTCTCTCTTTCTCTTTCTCACGAATTTCAGGAAAACAATTTGTATTTTTGTAGTTATCAAAATGAATTTCCATCACACGACCTCCGGTAAAAACGAGCGTATTTTGTTTAGTCAATGAAACCGATTTGTAATTTAACACCATAGAAAATAAATGCTTTTTCAAATATGACTCGATGTTTGTATGCACATCTTGTGTGCATGATAAATGGAGAGGAGAATTCGAAAGTGCCATTTCGAGCGTTGTTTGCAATCACATATTTCATGGACTGACTGATGCAAATTTCATTCGTAAAAGCAATGAACCATCAAAACATATATTTCCACCACCATTTTTTATTGGGTTGAAATATATATATTATTCATTCATTCATGTGTGAATTCATGTCAGATGGCTGTGATTCACCCGTTCGTCTACCGCACACAATTAGAAAATCATTCAGCCCGTTCGGTTGAACGCTATTCGTACTCTTCACTGCATTCATTCTTCGAATTTCTGTATGTGAATTATGATTGTTTGTCGTCTATAAAACGAAAATGTCGCTAAATAAATCAAATTCAATTCATCGCTGAAAGACGCCTCTCGACACATTTTACGGGATTTCAACGTGCAAAAAATAGAAAACTAATGTATGATAGAATTTATTTTATTTATTCTCGTCCACATTGGATTCAATCACAAAATTCTTGTAAGATTTATACAGAACTTGTACTTTACATAGTATTGATTTATTTGATTGAAATGTGAACCGTTGCAGATTTATCAAGCCATAAATTTAGGCGGAACGACTAAGTCGATTTGGAAAATTCGCCCACGTGAAAAAAATCGACTTGAAAATACACACATAATATCCAGTCGAATTAATTATTATTGACGTTTTTGGGTTAAAATCACACATACAAACGCATGCAAACACACCGACGCACATCCGTTCAATTCAATGTGATTTAATTAAAGTTACCATATTAAAATCGTTTTGTGTAAACATAAGAATTCAAAATAATTGAGTATAACAGCTTACGCCAGTCTCATTTCAATCAGATTAGATTGGGAAACCACACACTCGAACATTGGGCCAAACAGTTGTACGAACACATTTTTGGGTTGAAAAATTAAATTTTCTCCTTGAGATTACAATTTGTTTGTAGACTTGTCACCTTTGGCAAATCAGCTTATCGTCAAATAAATTGATTCATGCTTTGCCCTACCTCTCTCCTCGCTCTTCGCTTTGACTCGACAAAGTGCTTGCTTATGCTCTAAATGCCACCAAATTGCGTTTTTGTGCGAATGCTTAAAACGACCGACGATATTCTTGTAAATGACTAGAGACACATCTACCAAAACAATTGGATTTGTTTGAATTGTCTAGAGAAAAATTCCAAATCAAAATACCGAAACGGAAAGCAAATGAAAGGAACAATTTGTATGTTGCCCGAATTCATACCCAATCAAAATTTGTGGGCGAATTACAATCCAAAGCGGACAATACAGCTTGAGAGTTGTATGATATATATTATTACAACCAATATATACGATAGCGATATGAAAGAAGAAAAAAAAAATATGTACCTGGACTCTAACTTCGGGCAAGTTGACTTTCATCGCTAGTTCCTCGCGTGAATAGACGTCAGGGTAATGGGACTTTTCGAAAGCTAAGATGAAGTTGAAAGTAGGAATTGAATGGATTTTAATCGAAAGAGCGAACAAACCGAAACATTTCGATTGACCTACCTCGTTCCAACTCGTGCAATTGGTATGTTGTGAATGTAGTACGGTTGCGTCGATGCTTTTTCTTGTTGCACGCATCATCTGGTGCTGTTCAAAGCAAATGGAGAAAATTGGTTTGTGAAGAACCATTCACCGAAAAAGTTGGATAAAAAAATGGAGATATAAAATGAAAAAAAAAAGGTACACTTACCACCGCTTTCATCTTCACTGCCTGAGAGATTTTTGTCGTCGTGTTCACTCGTATTTGTTTGATTCAAATCATCGCTGGATGCATAGTTCACATTAATGTTCGTGGCACCATCGTCGCTGCCTCCTCCGCCGGCGCCGCATCGATTGGCATTCAATTCGCTACTAATATTCCGATAATCACCATCCGAAATTCGATGGTCGTCATTCTGCATTTCATCAATATTCCTCGGCCGAATCCCATCGAAATTACTTAAATATTCGAATTTATTTTGCATAATATCGCCACAGTTATTCTTATACATTTTATGGAACACACTGTTGTTATCGCTATCGGCACCTGCATCGTCCTTGGCATGCTTTCGCTTCGTATTTCTATGAATCGAATTTAGTCTATTGTTGTCAGTGTTGCCACTGCTAGATACTAAATAATTATCACCGTTCATCGATACTGATTCATCAAAGTCGTTCTCATGCGAGTGATTGTTTTTGTCATTCGCAGTCGTATTCACGTTTGTTCCAATGTTACCGTTGTTGCCATCAACACCACCTCCACCACCATCGCCGCCGCCGCCGCTATACGAATCAATACAAGGACGATTCCGTTGATCCGAATTGTAATACGATTTCTCCATAAAATACGATTTGTGCTCTTTCAATGCTGCGACGTTTTGGCTATAATCGTAGTCGGCATTCACTGGGCCCGTTGTCGATTGATCATACGCACTGCCTGATTGACATTTATCGGCTTCGAATCGAATGAAATGCTCTTTTGTGATTAGTTGATTGTCAGACGCTCTAATGCGCTTTAATGCATCCGAACGCAAGTCATTTACGTGATTCTTTCCACCTGAAAGCATACATCAATTACACACGGATTTTAGTTTTGAATTTACAAAATGGTCGGTGGATATGATTAACAACGGCGATAAACAATAATTTTGATAGCAGTAAGTTTAATCGTAATAAGTTTGATCAACAAAAATTATTATGGTCAGTTTGAATGACCAAAGGTATTGCTTTATAATTGTTATTGCCACATTCCATCACATACATTCACTCACTTCCTCTCTCTCTCTCTCTCTCTCTCTCTCTCTCTCTCTCTCTCTTTCTATTAGCTCTGTTTTTCTGTCTCCTCAACTTCACGCTCTTTGGCTTTGAACTAGTAGCTGAGTCTTTTTTTTTCTTCGTATAATACATACACGACACTTGGAGCAAATACCACTCTCAAGCGATAAGAAAGTAGCAGAACACACGTACAAGCACACACCGAAATAAAGTGGATTGGCTTTATGTTCGCTCCAGCCTTATTAGGTCGACAAATTGAAAGCGGTCATTCCTTTTGATTTGCTGTGTTTCCATAAACAAATAATAACCATTCGTTTGCATGTTAACCTGTTATTTTAATGAATAAACCATTAAAGTTACGTTCTTTTTAATTGAAAGTTATTTAATATCATTTCTTTGTTTTTGTTTTTGTTTGACTTGTGCGCAACATGCGCTGAACGCGCACTTACGCCGCAGCTCAATAAGCATTAAGTTTTTTTTTTTTCATATATATTCTCTCTATGACATTATTGATTTTCCATTCCATTCTCTTATTTTCCCGTTTGCACACAATGATAGTTTCTTAATTACGTTGAATAATGGAAATTAAATTAAAAGCCCGTGTAGAAACACCGTCAATCAAACGGTCTACGGTAGACGTACTATTACACTAAGCACGGTGTAAATTGTCTGGCGATTTTCCGTTGGGGATGTTAATTCGAATGCATACATTGTGTGTTGGCCCGTTAGTGGTTGCTTCCTTGCTTCTGATTCGTGCATAAATTGTTTGGATTTTTTTTTTCATTTTATTATTGTGTCCTATCGTTTCATGATTTGTTTTCCACATTCGCTTATTAACGCTGATTTTTTTCCTTTCTCCTTTTTATAATTTCCGCTTCACATCCACTCGACATTTCATTTGTACGTTCACATTACGGAAAACCAATGCCAAAGCGTTGCTTCTGATTGCATTAATTACGACTAATTTATGAATGAAAAACTAATTAGTTCTTAGGATGGAAAATTGACCGAAGTTTTTCTCCCTTTAACGTTATTTGCTTTCGGCTCGAATTGCGGAAAGCAAATAAAATTCCTGAGCGCTCACAACAATCTGCTTTATTGTCTTTAATTGTGATCGCACTTACAAATATCGATATGGTGTACTTGTTATAAACTATAAATTGCCTTTGTGAATATGAAGCCACGTTTATTCAACTAAATGACACATCAAATTCACTCCTTCTGTGAAAACGGGAACAAACCCTTTTATTGTTATAAATAAAATTCTATCACACACTATCAAAGTATAACCTCGAGCCTTGCAATATTACGTGCATGCTCAAAACCATGAAACTTTATTTGTGTGTCAATACATGATCTAATCACATGTGTCTTTAAACTGCGACTGCAACTAATTTCATTTGAAAACTTTTTTTTTATTTTGTTGCAATTTTCCATAGTGGAGTTGAGTTCTCGAGATAGTTTCACAAAACGTAATGAAACTAATCGGTATGCAAACCAACATAATTAACCGCTTAATAATTGAATTAATTTACAATAAGAACACGAACTTGTAAACACAATGACGCCAAAGCAAAAACAAAATTGAAGAGAAATATTAAACTTCGAAGTTATTGTATACCGAAATTCATAAATTATTTTAATAATTATGATCGACGCTTGATTTGCGTAAGACAAGAAAATCGTTTTAACCAAATATCATGTGAAATAAAAAAAAAAATGTGTTAATTTTTTTCGCTGCATTAGTGGACAGCACACACCAATTCCACGACACAGCAAGTGCGCTTCAAATCGGGCCATAGCCGAAGCGAGGCATCGATTTTTATCGCATTACATAAACTTTCACCCTTGAAACTGGACACACATTTACAATTACTGTTCATTGGGTTTATTGCATCGATTTGATTGCGCGGACCAAGCGGAAAGAAAACGACTTTTTGTGAGAGCCGGTGGGCTAATTGTAATTTGAGAACACATGCCACCGGCATCTATTAATCGCTGTCACACCATATAAAATGATTTAAATACTTGCGTAATAATTTTTTGCAAGTAATTTATGGGTTCATTAGGGTTTTATGACTTGCCCTCATAACTGGCGTAACTTTTAATTACAAATGTAGCAATTTTTTCTAGGTCATAGTATACACTATACAGCTTTACATTTTTGGTTATATTATTAATATGTTAATAAAATTGCTAACATACTAATAACCAAAAACCATCATAGGAATAATTGAATCGTTGCAACAAAAAAATTCCCTCGGAATATTTGAGAATTGAATCGAAGCATGGCATTTGTCTACGAACAAAGAGCAACAACGCAAGTTTTTGAACCAAAGCGACACAAAGCGAATGTGAGAAACAAATTGCAACATAACGAATCATGTTGCAGTTTAAATCCAAAACAAAGTTTGGTTTAACCCCCACTACGAACAACTCTTCGTAATTTCGAATATGCATCCTGACCATTTGGAAAAGGAACAGCATTTTAATCACTTGTAAAGCGAAACATGTTCAATCATGTTTGTGTGCATTTTTCAACAGAAACGAAGCGAGCGGCTCTGTTGTTCGTCAAACATCCGAGCTGGTTGAACGATGATTCAATGGGAAGCCATCGATTTTATTCATTGGGATTTGGGAGCGATGGACACATTATTTTTGCCAAATTCCGCTCGGAAATCGGAGTTTCGGCCTTGTATAAATTCGTCCATATAAACCAATGCAATAGCAGCGGCGCTCCGATGTTTTCATACCAACTTCCCATGTAGACGGTCGCAATACAGCTGAAATTCGAAAAAAAAGTTGAATTTTTCTTCGATTCTTGTACAGTATTTAACCCTCGGAAGGACCCCTGGGTCCAGTCAGACCTTTTTCATTTTTGATCGTTAATTTAACATATTTCTAATTTAGCTAGCAACTCGAGTTTTAAGTTATCTGCCTGAAATTTCATCGAATATCGATCTAGCAAAACAAATATTACAAAAAGTCCTTAAAAAGGATGATATAAGGATATACAAAAACTACACCTTCGAACGAATTGATAAGAGATAAGTGATAACTATCATAAGCAAAGTTGATGAGCAGGTTGAGTACTACAACTTTGCCCAAGACACTAATTCGTTATATTTTATCAAATACGCAAAAAACCACGGAAATTTTTTCTTATCAATTTTCGCGGGACTGATAAGAGATAAGGAAATTACATCTTCGAAAAAATTGTAGCTCTTGATCTGATCCACAACTTTGCTGAAGAAAGATATCAGTTATCTTTTATCAGTTTCGCGAAAAATGAGATGGCATGCATACCTTATATCCATACAAGCGCATGTAAATGTATACGGATCAGCGCCGTAGCCAGGCCGGCGCAATGGGTGCATTGCACCCTCCAAAAATTTCAAAGGTGCAACAAAATCGGGTGCAAAGTCGGGTGCAAAATCGGGTTTAAAAGGTGCAACAAAAGAAAAATTTCGATTTTGCACCCTCCAATTTTTTTTTCTGGCTACGGCGCTGATACGGATCCAGCCAGACCCGAGGGGTCCGCTCGAAGGTTTTAACCAATACATTCAAATATAGTTGACACATACGAATGGGATAAAGTTTATCGCAAAAGCAGATGTCAGCACCAACAAATATACACAAATGAGATGACATTTATCCCATTCGTATATGTCAACTATATTTGAATGTATTGGTTATGACACTTTAGTATAAAAGTAAACTTCATACTATTGTGTGTGCAGAGTGCCACAAAGCAATTTTCGGCTTGAAACTGCAACATGAATTTTTATGTTACGCTTTGTTTCTCACATTTACTTTGTGTCGCTTTGGTTCAAAAACTTGCGTTGTTGCTCTTTGTTCGTAGACAAATGCCATGCTTCGATTCAATTCTCAAATATTCTGAGAGAATTTTTTTCATCGCAACGGTTCGGTTCAATTTATGTAAATAATTTGCCAATGAATTGATAATATTAATAAAATAATCAATCTTATCAAAAAAGTTGATATTTTTTCAATATTTTAATAACGAATTAATGATAATAATTGATATTTCAATAAAGGCACATCTGTACTATAGTGGAGTTTATGGAGAATACGATATTTCAACATAAACATGAATTCAAGGTGTCTGAGATGCTCAAAGTGCTCCTAATGCAGATTATTAGCGTCCACATTTAAAAAAAAATGAGAGCAATCGGATTGCTTTATAGAAATTGCCAATTGATTTTCTGATTGTCATCGTCAATTTTTTGTTCACTTAGCGCAGTTATCGCATGCCACGAATTAACGAAGACTTCATTGAACTGGACATGGTATAATTATCGGTCCAGAATCAATTATCTCTTTCTTTCTCTCTATCTAAACTCGATTGAAATAAAATCAATTTGGCATTCGTATGAATAATTTAATTAAATGGATGAGTAATTTTCAAGATGGACTAGTTTTGGTTCAGAAATTTTTTTTTTAGTTCTGAAGAAAATCCAGTCCATTAATAGCGGATGTCAATGAAACTGGTGATCGAAAAACAGCAATTACGATTGGTTCAATGAATTAATAGTTTGAAGTGGCATGTAGACAGTAGCCAAAATGATTAGCAGGCACGCTCAATTTTCGATAATCAAGTAGCAGCCTTAAAACACACAAAACCGTCTAATTAGTTTTGATGTTTTCTTTTAAATAATATGATTGATATTAGCGTTTCAATGAGGGGCACGGGTAAAAACTTAATAGCCACATTGATGAGGTAGAATGGGAACAAAAGCAGATGAGCAAAACCATCCAAGAAGCTGATGGAAACACATTTATATAAATTGATCGTGTGCGATGCGGCTACTAAAAATGTATGTGAAATGAGAAATTGATTGATTCTTAAATTTGATTTCAATTGCACCGAATAAGTCGAAGATAAATTAAAGGAAATGCCGTGCCATCCATTGAGTAAGATAAAAATCAGCTCTCGCTTCAATTTGCCGAACATAGTTTCAATTAAGCCATCGCTTCACGTTCGACGTGTGTTTCGGCATGCTTCTTCTCTTTTGTTTTTTGTTGTCCTTTTAAAACATCATTCTTGTGGTTTTCTTTATAAGTTCAAAATCGTTTGTGTTTGTTGTGATTTAAACTCATGTAATACGCCCATTTCGTCATGCACCTAATATAGTGAGTTAAGACACTCAGAAGGATATTGTATATCGACAATGACTGTTATGATCGGCACACACTTTGTTGTTCAGATTCTTGATTCGTACACCAGTCCACATAAGACCCAAATTTTAACATGTTTGATGTGTAAACCAGACTGAATGACTTTTAACAATTTTAAATTATCAATATGAAAAAAAAAACTATCACCATCGCTCTATTTAACCCGCCCCAAGAGAAACGGCCAATATGTTTATACGCTGTCTATCCGCCGAAAATACACTACAATATATATTCACGCTTATTGGACGCCGAATTCAATATATATTCTAGTGTATTTTCGGCGTATTCTTCAGCGTGAAACATATTGAAACATATTCAGGCGCCCTCTGATGGCCATGAATGCATTCATTGATTCAATATGTTTCACGCTGAAGAATACGCCGAAAATACACAAGAATATATATTGAATTCGGCGTCCAATAAGCGTGAATATATATTGTAGTGTATTTTTGGCGTATAGACAGCGTATAAACATATTGGCCGTTTCTCTTGGGGCATAAGCCCAGCAAAAGGCGGGCAATACAAAATCAGTTATAAAATGGGAACCCGATACAACATATTTGTATGTATGGAGACATATTTGGTCATTGTCAGTCATGTCTGGTTGGTGATCTGGGGAATAGTTTTCCACCAAGTTTTCGCTTTTTCGTGATTCCTTGGAAGAACTAATATTTTTTTCCGTTCATTATTCAACAGAAAAAAAAAACAGGGAAAAAATTCCCTGCTCTGAGCAAAATTTATGCAGTTGAAGGTTAAGGTATCTGGCATCATATCTTTTATTTCGAAATGTACTTATATGTTCTTCTTTTCCTCGAGCAAATCCAATATCTTGAATCGAAAACACTTAATCTACTTAATTTCTTTAATATTTGAACACCATTATTAGTTGCATATGAAAGAGTGGATATTTTGAAGCCGACTTGTAATTATTTTTACTCCATGTTTGTATTTTTGAAATGTAAATATCGTGATCTTGCCACTGTGAATTGAATTCAGATCGTATTTTCCCCGACGTCTGAGTCTACATAAAAGTCAAAATTCATTACGATGGTTAGACATGATTTTGTTCTTTCTTGCCTTAACAAATTAACATTGAAAATGCAAATTTGGTGTTATGAAGTAATCAAATCTCAATTAAGAGAGGCATGAATAAGGATGAATTGAAAACTTTGAAATTAATCATTGCAAGAGTTTTTATGTGTGGTTGTAGTAATCCTTATTATATATTGACCATAACACCAGACAGGCGGAGTGATATGCATGTCACACTCGCTTTAGCTTGAAGTCGAATAGAAAGTTTTCATTTTTGGTTTTTTTACTGATGCACGCCAACTGATAAGGATAAACAATCTTTAAAGTTGGATTAATATAGTTTTTGGATCGTGTTTGCGGTGGTTTTTGTGTGCGCAACTATTATTTTTACAACCGAACGAACACTTCGCTTTGGGACGCGATTTCACTCTCTTTTATTTTTATTTCTATGACTCAATTCTCATCAACGACTTGCAACTTTTCGGTTTATTCCCCACTTTGTGCTGTTATTTTGTTCTTTTCTCTTCATTTTCACTATGTCTCACTGGCGCGCGCTTTTAATTCGGGCTGACATTTTTTTGGTTTTTGTTTGCAAATTCTTTACATTGGAATTGCATTCCGAATAAAACGGCGTTTGTTTGGGATATATATACACACATAGAGAAAGAGAAAGAGAATGAGAGAGAGAGAAATAGACAGAGGACAAAATTTATCACAACAAACTTAGCTGGAACGGCGCATACAACGAAAGCATGGTAATTTAGAACAATAAAGAAATGTGAACGGTGAAAAAACAACGGAAAAAATCACTAGACACAGAACGCACATAATAACGAAATCGAGTTTTTTTCCCATTTTATCCTTCCATTTCGTGTTTGAGTGAGGGAGAGAGACATAGAGAGAAAGAGAGAGAGAGAGAGAGAGAGAGAGAGAGAGAATGTGTCAATCTGAAAGGTAGAAAACCTATACCCAAAATTGCGACGGCATGTACACAAGTAAGTGAGAAAAGTTGATGGCAATAAAACTGAGGAACGGCGCGATTCATTACGGTAAACAATTTTTGCGACACACTCACACATAATATTCCCGCTTGAATGAAAAGTTTGAAATGCAAACGACGATTTCGACTTTGTTAAACATTTGTATATGAATTAAACTCATGTCAAAAAATTCGAGCCTTGTGTTTTGCTTTTTTTTCTATTCTGTTGCTGTTGTTCTTCGTTGCCCCAGCCAATATGAGGTATTGTGTCGCTGTCGGTTGCACAAGCCACAAATCATGACACGAATCAAATTGTAAATAGCAATAAAATGGAGCGAATTCACTCAATTGTCGCATGTAAAAAATGGGAAAAAGGCTGTGTAATAGCCTTAAACAAAGAGAATTAACTATATACAAATCTCATTTTTCAGTTGAAATATAACTAAGCCATATTTCTTTCTACCACAATTTTCTTATTAAGTGTGACGTTCGGCATTTTATGGTTTGTAGGGAAAAAAAAATCAACGTTATATAACACATACATGCATACGCCCGCTCATTTGGATTAGTCTGCATTGACTTGCGACGATAACGAAAACAACGAATATATCGATTGTTTAATTAAAGTTAGACAGCATGACCAAAAGTACAATCATAATTATTTCCCGAATAAATGTGAACGTGAAGTGGATTTATACACTATTTCCATAACGAGTGCTGAACATTGAGCCTTTTTGGGCCGCGTCGAATGCAATTCTGATACGAAATTATAATCGCTTGTCGCTCTCGTCTGCAATCACTTGGCCTTTCAATTACTAATTTAACTGGGAAACGACCAGAATAAAGCTATTGGTTGCAGGTCATGGGACGCTATTAAGTACCTTCACATCGATTCGAAATATCCTAATAAGAGTACAGAAGCAAGCACGTATTCATGAAATTGCAAACAATCATTTGCACACGAAAAAGAAAAATTTACGTTAAGACGTGACCATTAAATGGGTTTACAATTCAATTAACATATTTATGAGTTATGCAAGAATGCGCTCGTAACTCAACATAGCAACTCAAATTATTAGATTCATTAGAAAATTCGAAGAATAGGGGAAAGCAGAACTAATTTATCAATGAGTTTTCTTAAACATTAATATTAAAACCTATATTTACTAAATAGCTATTGACCATTTTACGACTTCAGCTAATCATCAAAATGAGCGAAGCAACAAATAACCGTCGGCATGTTACCGTTTTAGAGAAACACATTTTAGAATCAAAGCTAGAGAGTGTGACTTGAATCACGATTTGAACTTGAATTGAGTTTTTTTTCTTCTTCTTTTTATAAAAAAGGGTATATCATTTTTACCATCCAATAGTTTTTCACAGTTTTTCAACCCTAGAATGGCATCAATTGTGTGCCTTGGCGTAATTGTTCCGAATTTGCGTGAGGTGTCACCGAGGCAGATTTCATCTGAAATGTGAGTGAAAAAAAAAAAAAAACACAACTTTAAATGTCTAATCTCAAATTGGCTACACATCCAATGCACACTATTCGGACAATCAGTTGAATTGCTACAAAAAATATACCACTAACCATCTTTATAATTGTCTTGTATTAGGTTTTCAACGCCGCTGTCAATTTTGAATTTTTCCATTATTCTTTGAAAGTTTTTGACATCACGTATACTTTTTTCCAAATGTTGATGTTCGCCGGCACTATCCGAATCAGCACCGTATTCACTGTTATGCTTGATCAGTTTCTCTAGAATGTTTAGTGTTTGACGTTCACGTTCTTGAAGCTGTTCCGATGCGGGCATAGATTTAATGTCCATTTTATAGAATACACAAAATCGATTTAAAAGTATCGCACTTGATTGTTGTTCCTCTTTATTTTTCTCTCTCAATAGATTACTTATTGGAAAACGGATCGTTCTCAATGTAGTTTCAAAAATATTGCATCCAAAAATAAATTTCGATTTTATCAAAATTGCTTTTCGATCGGATATCAATCATTAAAATCACTTAAATTGTTAATTTCTTTGCACATAACTATGATAACTCAGTCATCACTCATTAATATTTCTCATTTTTTGACTGTCATTAATTTCGGTTGAAAGTTGCACTAGAATAACTCACAATAGAACACTTGGATAAATCATTTCATAAAACACGAACGATCGAAATACAAATAATTCGATTTACCGCGCCAAAATAATTACAGACATGAAAAATATTTGCATTAAAGACGTACAGACCGTAAAAGTTATTGTTTATCGTTATATTCGGTGCTCCGTAAAAAAACCTCAACACACGAGTAGTGTCCAAAACAAACTGTTTGTGCTTCAGTTAAACCAGTGCCTAAGTTCTGAACAAAAAAATTGTGCTTTCCACTCGTACGATATAGTAGTGGCGGTAGGCGGCGTCATTTCGATGTGTTGTGCAATTGAGACATTTTCCCTCTTCGTAACACTCATACACACGCACACATACAGTTAAAGAAATACACAGGCAACGTTTGTGGAGGTACACAATGGAGTTGTACTGAACACTGTGCAACCTCATATAGAGTCTATGTACAACGTTATACAGAATCTTTTTATAAAACCACACACAGTCATCGCAGAAGAAGCGAATTGATTGAAGATGGAAAAACCGAAAATGTTCGGAGGTGAAGAGCATACACAAATGATGTATGAGTATGCGCACGTGTAACTCACTCGTATTGTCGAGAGGGTTAAATTGTTTCAAACTGGATGATCAGCACGTTAATGCAGTGATGATTCAGAATCGAGATTGAATATTCATAAGGTGGGCATGGATGTGTAGAAGAGGCATGCATCGAACACTGGAAAGAAAAAAATGTAAGCAAAGTAGTTTAACATCAAATTGAAATGATGCTACCAATGTTTGTGCCACCCTGTGACACAAACTTCGTGAAGTGCATACTGACATGCAATCCATTTGTTTGTATTTCAATAAAAATAACACCCACAAAATCATCACATGTGAATGCCAATTTGCGAATTTATATTGATGCTGATACAAATGGCTAGTGCTGGGCACCAGACAAATGGTTTGAAAAATTAAAATCACCAACAACAACATTTGGTTTCAGTGGCGTAAAGAATTTCTATTTTATTGCTATGTACTTTTGTGGAGAGCGAAGTTTTTTTTTCTTTGTTTTTGGGTTTGTTGTTACTGTTTCTGTTGTATGTGTTTTTATATTTTTATTTGAAAATGTCACAATTCGTAACATTTCCCATTTGATCTTTTTATTGTTGAAATAACAGACAAACACGGACAATTGGATAATGAAATTCATTCCAATTTCTCTGTAACACAATAGACTATTACAGTTGCAAACAAATCACGGCACGACCACTGTCTACTTAAACTATCCATCCAAGAAGGAATGGAATCAACTTGATCACCAAATCGCTTGATAAATAAATGAATGGATGGACGAGAGTATATCAACTCGAATTTAGGCTGTATTATAAAAAGGAACACAGGCTCAAAGTATGTCCCCAAAATAGGACCATAACAAACAATCAATCAATTTTAAATGCCATTTCCATTACGAATAATTGAATTTACGCTTGATTTCATGAATATACTGGAAAAACAATTGCCAACTTCACAACAACCGAAGCTCTAATGGAAATGTACAGTACAAAATACAAAACACAAAAAACAACCATTGCAATTAATTATGTCTCGAATTGGTTTACGCTGGCTTACACACGGCGAGAATAAAACGTGAAATTAATTTATAATTGTTACGGAAATGCATTCAACAAAACAAAAAAGACGTTACAATCACAGCATTATCGAGCGGAGCTTCTTCCGGATGAACAGTAAAAAAATATGCGTACATCAACTGGCTATCTTTTAGCTAGTTTGTGTGAAACAGAGACCGAATGGTGGAAACACAAGAGTTTCATTTAAAAAAAAAATTAACTGAACGTATTATTTTTTTTTAAGTAGTGGCAATACTCTGACCATTTTGATTTTTGTTTCCGTCGTTTACTTTTTTTTGTTCCAACTCTTCCTCCACTAAAAACATAACCAACTACGAAAATGATTAAAATTATCACTTTCATAGAGTATATTATATATAAAATGGACGCAAGTGTCAGAATGTGTTTGATTTAGGCAATGGTATCGTTCTAACTTAGCCCATAAGAGTACATAACAGCAACATTTATTTAACGCATTAATGGTGAGATTTTGAACACAAATTGACGGAATGCAGATACATAATCAGATAAGAGCAAGAGAGAGGGAGGGAGCAAGAGTTTCCCTCCATCAATTGTGTTTATTACACAGTGCAACACTAGTCAGTCAACTGGCTCTTGACTGGGATGAATTGGATTGATATTACCACCGGATTTAAGTAAAACAATAGCTGAATTTTGCAAGTTTAGTTGCAGTTTTTAAAAACTCATTCAGTATTAGTGACAGTATCTGTCAGTACTGTCTTCAGCAAATTCCAATAAACAAATTTTATTAGCACATTTGACAAAAAAATCATTTCTGGTCAGTGTAATAGAGCAAAATATCGCGAAAAAGGTAATTTTTTTCAGTTCGGGATCATTACTCACGGAGAATGCATTTTTTCACTTACTGCCCCCAGCTTATTTGAAAAATTCTCTGAAGTTTGTATGAGCCTATGTCGATAAAATGAAAACCGAATCTAAATTTGCGAAATCCAGGGTTTTGCAAAACTTAGTTGCGGTGGAATTATCAGTCCAATTCATCACAATCAAGAGCCAGTTCGGCTGAATCTTTTTTTTTTTTTAAATTGTTGCGCAGTGTTATTGATTAAGAGAAAAATAAATGGGCAATGAGGGAAAAATGGGAGAAAATTGGTGAAGCAACAAATTTTCTTCTTACTTGGCAACTTTTACTTACCTTTAACTTTGTTGCGCTTGAAGAGAGGGAGAAAAAAAAAAAAAAAAACAGAAATACCACTGAAAACAGACACATACATCCTCACGACCAGGGATGGAGCCAACGTCGAACTTGAGAAACGCAAAAAATCCAGAGGATAATGTAATGAAGAAAAAAAATGTTTAATACATTTTCTATCTTGTTACATAACAATAATAGCTTATAAGCATACAAATATAAATAACAAACACCAAGAATGATAACAATAAAAATAACAAAAACAACGTCATCGGCATAGCTGATGTTGATGGCAATGCAAACATCATCACCAACCCATCTCATATCTGGCCCCATAAAAGTAATAAGCGACAGAAAGAGAAAAAAAAGATACCATACCATTCATGGTACCATTCGAAAAGAAAACTCGTAATGCGTATATGAAGCACGTAATGACATAATAGAATTTACCAAATTAGATATCCAAAGTGTATAACAGTCATTCAATTTGCCGTAGATTGATTTATGCTTCATAATAAGTATATAATATAACGATTTATTTTCCTCTTTTTTCCCTGGATGGTTCATCCATTCGATTGTGTGTGTTGTGTGTGCGGCGTGTGGCGTGTGACGTGTGGCTGTGTGTATGTGTTGTGTATGTTTGGATGGTTGAGTGGAGTGGAGTGCAGCAGGTCGTTTGACAGTATATAAAGTATATCAACGCAATTGAAAGCGAGTGCTTCGGATGAATTGAGAGAGTATCCAATGTGAGAAATGGTGCCTGAAATCGGAAAAACAGACAAGAGCAAAAACGAAAATTGAGTCACTGCCAGCAGCAACAATAACAACAACATAATCATCATCTTCATCATCATCATCATCAACAACAACAACAACAACAATAACATATAGTAATTCGGGCACAAAGAAATTGTGAAAAGTATAGGTGGAGCTACTTGAATTCGGGAGGCGGAGTTTCGGCGCATAAATATGTGAATGTGTATGTGTATGTGTAACGTATCGCACTAAATGAACAAATGTTCTGCATGTGTGTTGATGTCGAAGACCGACTGGATTGAACAGCAGAGTGTTTGCATACTGTCGACATTGTGTGTAAAATGACTTATTTTAGCTTAATCATGTGATATAACGAATCCAATAAAACGAATAATTTGGCATTAGCTGGAGAAGGCCTTCGAGAATATAAATTGAATAATAAAATCAGCATTCGATGCATGTATAAAAATGGCTAATGACTACAAATTCCTACAGATTACTTATTAATGATCCATTCGATTCTCGATCCTCAAAATAAATCACTGAATGTGCGTTCCAAAATATATTTTTATTGTTCAATCGAAGAAATTGCAATAAATATTAGGAAAATTTGAAGTAGCGCAATTTAAATTGATAGCAACAGTAACAAATAAAATAAGTGGCAACAATAACGTATCATCAAGCATTCGGAAATACAAAGAAGCAAAATGAAAGATTCAAATTGGAAAATGGAGAGAAAAATATACATTTGCACCCGCAATAAACAATGCAACGTGCGTTTTTGTTTCAGCCAGAAACTACATCTCAATTGTTGATGAAAGCAAACGAAGGCTAAAAGTGGATACAGTTTACAAATGGCAATTCCCCCCACAAACACACAGTTAAGTTAAAACAGGACGCGCGCATATTTACACAATAACAACGAGTGAACAGATAGAATGAAATACAGAGATACAGAGTGATAGACGTATTCAGTAAGTGAGAGAGAGAGAGGGAGGTGAAGGAATCGCAAACATATACAGCGGCAGAGTCAATGTAAATGTGTCGCAGACACACTTCGAAGAGGACGATAGCAGCTTATTCTATTAAATCAATGATGATCATAATATTATTTTGGCATTCATTTTGTCTGGCTTAATTTTCATTTAAAAATTATCTCTTCAATGTAAACCGTTTGTATTGAAAGTCACCGAAAAATCGAAAGCGAGCTCTTTGGCATTCAGAGCTAGTGTGGAGTGTTTGCGTGCTCATCTTATTATACCATTTAAATGGTTCATCTTCATTATTCCAGTTGCGTAAACGTTTCGTTATTTGACTCGGCCCTTGGTGCCGATTCCATCCATCCATTATGTACCGATTATGACAGTGATGTACACGATTTCTCTTCTCTTCTCTTTTTCTAGGTTGCTTGTTTGATTTTCTCTGTTTTTCTATCTCATATTGTGCACCGAATCATTTCATCGGTCACATACACATACACATACACATTATTCGGTTGACTG